GTTATAAAATTTATAAAACTCAAAACCAAACTCATATTAAACAAAACTTTTAATCTAATATGATTTTGATTTTAAGTTTTTATTTTTTATATATTTAACCATTATTACTATATTTAAAATTTCAAATTTATTATAAAAAATTAAATTTTACACTGAATTACTAAATATACAACAAAATAAAAATAAAAATAAAAACAGAAAATCCAAAAGCAAAATCAATCGAAAAGAAAACCTTAATTTTCACCTAACCGATGCCTTGAAATTTCAATAATAATTCGTTGATAACTTCAATGTCATTAAATAAATTTTATTTGCTCTCATTCACTCGTACTATTATTTGATGCTAAATTTATTGTCACCAAACACTGTCAAACAAATTATTAGCCATAAAATTTGTACGGTCGAATACAGGCTCCCTAAAAACAAACCAAGGAGAAAAGAATCTTAAAATCAGACACAGCAGTTTGGAAACAGGAATTAGTTGTTCAGGTATGTGCCAAGAAAATGAAATAAAAATCTTCCCAATTCCAGAGAAAAGATCATAGAAAGCAGAAATCTAAAGCAGCATCAAAACCTGCAATAACATAAACCCACCATCAACAAGGGGATGGGGACACTTAACAGTCTTTATGTTGCAAAGTGCAGAAACCCATCAGTAAATGGTCAGACAAGTTTTAACAACAACATTTTAACTTAAAAAGACAGCTAGGTGAAAAAGAAAAAGAAAATAACAAACGAAAAATGTAGAACAGTGCTGGCTAAATGCGAAAACTCCTTTGCCTTAACCAACCTCATAAAACAAAAAGTAATCTCATCAAAGGAGATCAGCAACGTTTGATGGCAGCTCTTCAACGACCACGTTGTAGAATTTTTGGATATCGAACAGCATTCTCTCATCATCCTTTGTCACAAAGTTTATGGCAACACCTTTTCTTCCAAATCGTCCACTACGTCCAATACGGTGAAGGTAGTTTTCTGGTTGAGTTGGCAGATCATAGTTTATGACAAGGGAGACTTGCTGCACATCAATACCACGAGCCAGGAGATCAGTGGTGATCAGAACTCGAGAGGAGCCAGAACGGAATTCCCGCATGATGATGTCACGAGTGTTCTGGTCCATGTCTCCATGAGTGGCAGAAACTGTGTGATCACGACTCCTCATCTTGTCAGTCAGCCAGTCAACCTTGCGCCGTGTGTTCACAAAGATAACACTCTGAGTAATAGCTAAGGTCTCATAGAGATCACAGAGTGTCTCAAGCTTCCATTCTTCCTTCTCAACGTTCACATAAAACTGCTTGATACCCTCCAGAGTCAACTCATCACGCTTTACCAAGATTCTTACAGGCTTATTCATGAACTTCCTAGTGATCTCAAGCGCTTCAGGAGGCATGGTGGCAGAGAACACTCCAACCTGAATCTTCGAAGGAAGAAGCTGGAAAATATCATAGATCTGAGAGGCAAAAAAACAATGTTAGTATGGAACATCAAAATAAACCAAAGCTCTCAAAAAGCAATAAAGGAAACAAGATCTAGGTAGAACATATCAAACCTGATCCTTAAAACCACGAGAGAGCATTTCATCAGCCTCATCCAAAACAAACATCTTAATATAATCTGGACGAAGGGACTGCCTCCTTAACATGTCAAAGACACGACCAGGAGTGCCCACAACAACATGGACACCACTCTGAAGTATGCGCTGATCCTCACGAACACTGGTACCACCAACACAAGCATGGACCTTGACACTAAGATAATCACCAAGTGCTCGCATCACCTTCTCAATCTGTTGTGCCAGTTCCCTAGTGGGTGCCAAAACCAGGGCCTGGCACTGGACAAGACCATAATCAAGTTGTTGTAAAATGCCAGAGCAGAAAGTTGCTGTTTTCCCAGTTCCAGATTGAGCTTGCTGAATTACATCAAGACCTTTGCAGAAAGGAACAATTCCCCTTTGCTGAATAGCAGAAGGCTTCTCAAAACCTGGAAAAATATTTGAGCAAGATATTCAGAATAATAACATAGAAAGATAAAGAAGATTAAGATGGATAAAGCATTCAAAAACCTAGATCTTCCAACAACAGAACACTCAAATAAGCACATTCCATTGTTCCAGGGCAATACTCCAAAAGGAGAGGCTCCAAAGTAATTCATATTGAAGGTCAAAACTATTTCAATGTCATTTGTATAAATACAGGAAAAGAATAGATAAAAGAATTTGTTCCAGAGTGCTTCTCCACGTACCATATGCATAGATACCCCTAAGAAGGTTCTCCTGCAGTCCCATAGCATCAAAACTCTCATGAACTTCATCATAGCTCGTGAAAAAATCATCACCATCAGTTGAGAGTCTACACAGAATTGATTAATCAAGACATAGTTAGCATTGACGTGTAGTAAGGAGGCAGAGAACATTTTTAACATATAAAAAGAAAGAAACAAGCAAACGAACTTACAATTCATTCATCCTTTGATCAAACTGGCGAGCATCAAATTGAGAACCTTCAGGTGCCAAACCCGCCATGACTGCAATAAAAGGAAAAGAAATTGTAGCTTTAATCAAACTTAAGCACAACTCTTTTATATAGATAACAAGATGATGGTGAGACCAACGGCAATTCAACTCCCCCCCAAAAAAAAATGAAGGAAACATTTAAAGAGACAAATATCTTTAACAGGGATAGATGAAAATCCATCTTGCATCATGGAGAAGGACAAATACTGTCTACCAAAACAAAATGTAGCAGAAGAGCCAAACTTGCAAACCAGCTAATGAGGAGCGCAAGCATTAACTTCTGACTTAATATCCGGAGAAGATGTCATGGGCAGATGTCAATCTGACATTTAGGGTAAATCCTTTATGATCAGATGCCACTTTGCCCACCCCTCCAAATTTTACCCTGACTCCCAGCACTCATGAACCAATGAACCAGCCTAATGCACTAGGCAATTTCACTGGTTCTCAAAGAGACACAAAGGGTGCAAAAGTTCCTCTTTCTCATTGCACCAGAATACCTCATTGAGAATAAGAAAAATTCTGGCAGTCAAGACAAGAATAATATTTTCCAAATAACAGTCTTTGCATTGTAAACAAAGAAAATAGCAAAAATTGCTTTATACCATCTATTTTGACGCATGTAAAGAATTCTAGATAGGCAGCAAAATACACCATAACAGAAACAATAAACTCTATAAGGATTATTCATCTAAAATCCATACAGAACATCAAAACCTCATCTAAGAATTAACTCCAAGGTATATTGGGTAAATACATACGTTTTATGAATGAATAATTTCATGAACCAAACACAACAACAGAAGATTATAGTATAGCACAACGAAGTATTAACAATCATCCAAAAGCACGGTTTCGTCACCATCAGAATCTCCCCTGTACCAAAAGGCAGTTACCTCCAAACAGAACATAACCCCAACACAATTCAGCGATTCACCGAACTAAAGTTTAAAATTTTATACCATTAAATGCTAAGATCTGCTTCTTGATTTCACTAACAACCAAAACAAAAGATAAAGCCCATTTAATTAAAAGTTGAATCAGAAAAGACACCCCTCATAGAGCGAAGACAAGCTGACCCCCATAAAGTTTCCAGCTTTTCAACTCCTCAAATCTCAAACACCACAAACAAATCCACAAGCAATCATAAAAAACCTCAAAACAACCTCATAAATATCAAAATCAATAAAAAAAAAAAACCCAGAAAGAGATAAACAAAACAGATCAAACCCAGATCCCAAACAGAATAAAACGAAAAGAGGAACATGGCATCCAATCAAATCAAACAACTTTAAAGCAAACAGAGATGGGTATAGACAAACAAAATCTATAAACACACAAAACCGAAACTAATCCAGGGACATAAAAAAATAAAAAAAAGGAGGGAGAACAACCTGATAGCAGAGGAAGAGGACTGGAGCTGAGAAAAAGAGAGAGTGATTGTGGGTGTAGAGAGAAAAGAGAAGGCTATTGTGGAGGCTTTTAGTTTTGGAGAGAGAAATTTAGGGTTTTCCCAAACTCCTCGGATCTGCGCCGTGGAGTTGAGGAAGAGGCAAAAACAACTGACTTGCGTCTAACTAGGTTAAAATTGCTGTATTGCGTACAAGTAGTAGTAGTAGTAGTGGAGAGCGAGGAAACCCTCCCACGATTGGACAATTCTTCTGTATTTCCAGGATTGCCCTTCACGTATTGCCTTTATTACCCTTTGTTTCTCTCCTGTGTCACGTGTGAGTTTCTCTTTTTATCTCTGGAGAATTGTCACGTGTGAGTTGATTATGCGTTATGTATTGTATGCCCTCTGGGAAAAGGTGCTCGTAACGTAATAACGTAATAGGGAAATGAGTCTACCGACTACCGGATATGGGCGTTTGGATAGAAGGGATTTTATCAAAGATATTTTGGTAAATTTATAATTATGACTGTATTTTGCAGTGCAAGATGAATTGAAATACACAAAACGTATATCCCATCTAAAAACTCATACATCATGTAGTTTTTTTTTTTGTTAGTACTAATATTTTTTATTTGATAATTATATTAAATTTTGAATAATTTAAAAGAGTAATGATACAGCGGATGAAAACGCGAAACAAAATGAGAGACGACAAGTGATGCAAAAGGGTTAAATTAGTAATTGCACCACATATATTAATTTTGCATCACTTGTCGTCCCGCATTTTCGTCTCACGTTTTCATCTGCTGCATCATTACTCAATTTAAAATTGAATCACATCATATTCTTTATGAGAAGAAATTCTCTTAAGATTTGTTTCTCCATTAACTCCATTCACACCAACGAGGGGTTGGATCAAGTGATAAGCGGCTGGTTCCAGTTTAAGTAAGGTCTCGAGTTTCGAGACCTTGTGTACGCAGCAGCCCTCGCTGGGAGACTCACCCACCATTTCTAAGTGCGCGACGCGGATCGAGTCCGGATTAATGGGGGCAAAGCCTCGGATACCGGGCGGGAAACAAAAAAAAAATTAACTCCATTCACAAGAATTAAATTCCAAATCTTATTTAAAAAAACTGAATTTTTTCATTTAAATTAACAGATAATTGATTATATATTGTGTAGTTAGAGACTCAAAATTATATGTCTTAATCAATTTTTTATTACTATTTTATAAAGTAAACAAATATTTGTTTATAAAGTAAAATTATCAATAAAAATAATATATTTAAATTTTTTAAATTGTTATTTATATATTACATAAAATAATTAATTAAAAATTACGTATCAAAAATATGTATAAAAGAGTGGGACAATTAATTTGAACAAAGTTAGCACCTATTACTATGATATAGTTTTTATCCTATAGATTTGCATTAAAAGAACGGGTTAATTCAATTTTTAGTCTATTAACTATCACCTTGATTTCATTTTAATCTAGAAACTATGTTTTATTTCTAAGTGGTCTATTAACTTTCAGATTCATTTCAATTTCATCTACCTGGTTATCTTTGACGGAAAATTTACTATTCTGTTAGAGAACAGTTAGTCCTCTAACTAAACTCTAAAAGGTTAAAAGATACTTTCGATAAAATAAAAGAACTTAAATTAAGAGAAGACAGGCCTCAATGAAAAATAACTGAAATTACAACCCCTCACCCCCACTAAAATGAGTCCACCATAAAACAAGGTTTCGTCCAAGATAAAAACAACTAATCGCCTCCCAGAGCTGCACCTCTATTTAAGGAGAATTTCAACCACACGACGGAAATAAAAGGTGGAAAATTCAACCAAAAAAAAAAAAAAACATTTCAAAACTTGAAATCATCTGCAGAAAATATTATATTCCTTGTCTGTTCACACAACCAGATATCACAACCCATTTCTTCCAAAGCAAATTAAAGACAACGAAAAAACAAAAAAAAAAGATGCTCAAGAGTCGCCCGGGTAGTGGAACATGCAAAACGAGGAATTACAAGTAGTGAAACCCCCATCTATGAAGAGGTTGTGTCCACTCACATACCTTGCCTCCTCACTAGCTAAAAAAAGTGCTGCATTAGCAACATCTTCAGTCTTAAGCGCCACACCCTTGAGATTAGCATGCAAACTCGTCATCTTCTCGAGTTCCTCCTTGTTAATCCCCACAAATTTCTTAGCTAAAGGCGTGGCGCACGCGAAGGGAGACAAGCAGTTAACTCTAATCCCGAATTGTCCTAGCTCAGTTGCAGCATTTCTAGTCAGTCCTAGCACAGCATGCTTTGAAGCAGTATAAGCATGGGACGCTGCACCACCAAGGGCTGAACATACGCTGGCAGTGGAGATTATGCAGCCGCTACGAGCGGGGACCATGACTCTAGCTGCATGCTTGATCCCCAAGAAAACTCCGGTTGCATTCACGCTAAGGACGCGGTCGAAATCGGGTTTTTCGTTGTCGATTATGAGTGGTTTGTTTTGGTCGATTACGCCTGCGTTGTTGAACGTTATGTCTAGTTTGCCATAGGTGGCCACAGCTTTGTCAATGGCGTTTTTCATTTGGTACTCGTCTGTAACGTCGCAGTGGACATAGGTGCAGCTTGATGGGCCGATGGACTCGCAGACTGAGTGACTTAGTTCGTCTTGGATATCGGCAATAACAACCTTGGCTCCGTGGTGGGCAAAAACTCTGGCAGTGCATTCGCCGATGCCGCTGGCTCCTCCGGTGATCAGGGCAACCTTCCCTTGTAGCCTGCATAAAATTATGTTCAAGGCCATACAGATGAAACAGAAAACAATGTTCTAAATTACCTTCTTGGAACAGCTGAGATGAGAGATGCCATTGCTACTCTTCCAACACAAAGGAGGATCAGGTTGAGAGCTGCTCTTAATTAATGGATAACTGAGTACAGAGAGCGGATAGATACATATGAGATCAGAAAGAACCTAATTGATTCACCAAGAAAATTATAAAGGTGTATTTTTAAGATTATTCGGAGCAGAATTAATCTCAAAATGTACATAGCATCCAAACCCAAAAATAAAAAATAGTAATCTGATTGCTTCCTGATGATACAGATCATCGTCCACATGCTAATATTAAAACCCACTTGGCCTTTTTTTTTTGCTATGGAGGCTTTTGCCTCATGGAATCAATGACCTAAGCTGATTTTCCAACCTGCTTCGATGAAGACAATAATAGTAGAACAGGCATCTTCTACTCTTATCTGGGTTGAGAATCTAATAAGTTCCAGTGAGAATAACAACAAAATTTTAATGACAAAACTGAAAATTTCTTCTTTTTTTTTTTTTAAAAAAAAGGCAAAAGATCTATTGTTCCAGATGCTAACGTTGTGAGCAACTGGTGGCTCGTTAGTGAGGGCACCGCCGTGTTCGATCGTCCATGTAGCCAGCTTCCCCCCTTCCCCTTAAGGGCAGTGGCCTAATTGCCTTTGGCAAAGGAAAAATCTACGGTTGTTCAGCTCAAGCGAGCAGAACAATTTCACCACGTGAACCTGCAAAGGTAAATGGAATAAGATGAATAAATAATGATATGCTAATACTCCAGGACATAAGAAATATTGGCAATTATAAAGTACGGATGTTTTATTTTGCATTACATTGTTCGAAGATCTCTTTCACTAGCTGTAGCATAGACTCAGTATCTTCGGCCATTTTTGAGATTCTTTCTGCCTCTTTAACTGCTTCAGCAGCCAAAAACGATTTGTTTTCAGCCTCAGCAACTCTGTAGGCAGCTGCATTTGCCGCTTCTTCAACTGTCTCAACAGAGCTTGTGACTGCAGCAACTTGTGGCTGCCGAACCCTATCTTTTTGTTTAGGGGGTGTTTTTACTCCCAACACAGTATCTTTTTTGAGCTTGTAGCAATTTTGTACCTGAATTGCATATCTTGACAACAGTGAGAAACATTTTACCAACAAAAAAATAATAATAATAATAAAGACAACAGCAAGAAACTGAAATGAGTTAAACAGTCAAGGAAATAACATGTGCAAACATCAATTTGACAATTGTTGCCACCACATAGAAAAGAAACATCATCCAAAATTTGGGTAAATATACTCCCTCTGTTTTGTGTGTTTAATTGTCCTAATATGACCATGCACCCAGTTTTAGGTAATGCTTTTTTATGGTGTATAAATAGCAATTGAAATTCATTTTTGATAAAATGAAATTACTTAACAAGATCTAGGCATAGGAAAAAAATTTTGAAATTATCATTCATATACTATAAAAACGCATTTTCTAACATACATGCATGGTGCAGCTAGGACAACTAAAAAAAATGGAGGGAGTGTAATCCAGATAAATTGCTTACTGTAATCTACAATCCAGATAAAAGGCAAGGCACCAGCTAGCTTAGCTGGTAAAGTCATTTGATGGTTGTAATAGGGACCTTTGATTGGATATTGCTGAATCAACCATTGAGGACTTTAAACAGTAGGACAGAGCTATAACTTAACAGAGAAAAAAAAGGTACTGCACATACAACTAATGCTACAATATTTTACAACACTGAAATATGAAATACATAAACATTATGGCTGGCCTAGAACTGAAAAAGGTGGCTGGGGACAAAAGAACCAATAAAAGCTTCTCTCACTCCAGCTTCAATTTCTTAGGGTAGATAGATATGAATATGACACAAGGAAACATTACGTGTTTGCACAGTAATATTGTAGTAAGGGAGTATGGGAAAACAAGAGTACTGAAGCAATGGAAATTATAAGTGGTAAAGATGTATTGGTAGCATTCAACTCACCTTTTCAAGTTTACCTTGTGAAACAAGTCTTCTCAGCCTTGAACTTATAGACCTTCTAAAATTTGGCTGTACCTCTACCTCATGCCTTTGCTGCATTCATGTAAATCAAGAGAATCAACAATCTTCATTGCCAAGCTTACTTTATAAACTAGAGAACAATAATAGGTTCATACTTTGAACACCAAAAGACAACAGCTATAAATCCATTTGTATAAACATTTACAACTCCACTCGTGCAGCACAGAGAGTAATTTTAAGAAAAACCAGTGAAATTTGATTGCACAGATTGCTGTGCTATCCTCTTGAAGGAAAATAAAATCCCTTTTATAGGATATGAATGTCAGATAAAGGAGGAACTACCTTACAGAAAGGAAGTCTGAATTATAAATTTTCCTGAAATTAACACTTACAGAAGTTGACTATTTTGTGGAAGATTAATATCATTCTGTTTAGAAGCCCATTCAGATGATAGTGTGTACATTTGAGTGATGTGAAATGTATAACAGACTACTGAGGACAAAATCCTACCATTTTGTAGACTCAATGTAATATTATCTACTGTCTAAAACTCCAAATCACACTCTGCATCTTTGGAGAAGCACCCAAAATGTATTCCACATTGTAAGTTTGTAACATAAGGCACATGTATACTTATCATTTTGTATGATAGCACCTGGAACCGTTCGGCTACCAGAAGGGTACCAACTTCATGGAACACTAAGGGGAATGCATTCAACATGTTGTAGACCAGTTTTAATCTTTTATGATTGATTAAAAATAATAACTGCATGCCATGATTTCATTCTTTTGCAAATTCCCCTTTCTCATAACTGCCTCTGGTTTTCTACCCAAATTGGAGCCTCTCTTTTTTTTTTTTTTTATAAGCAGACAAGAAATTTTTATCGAGTACAGGAGGTACTCCAATCCTTGAAGCTGTTGGGTTATCTTATCTAAAACAGCTACAAACATTCTAAT